CCTTCGAAGAGGGAGAGAGCAGTAGTCGGTGGTGGAGGGGAGGAGGTAATGACTTAAATTTAAGAGGACTTAAAGAGCTTTACACGTGATTTTCAAGTTCTCTTTACCAAATTTATTTATATTTTACTAATGCTACCTCCGCTTTTTTTTTTATTTTACGACTTACTTTGTTATTCACAAGTACAGTTGTAGCTTTACTTCCGTCCCCTATAAAAATACAAACAGCTTTAGCATGTGATAACCAAATAACCATTTTTGTTACTGTGCTAATAACACTATTTAAACGACCATTAATATAAAGACACAATTATAAGGTGCGTGTTCTGAAGTTGGAAAACCAGACTATCCCTTTATCTGTGCAGAGAATGATTGTGACATTAACTATATTAGACACGTGCGATTTCCATTGTCTTTCTTTTCCTAAAACCTTTGATGAGGGAGAGAGTAGTAGGTGGATTTAGTTGTGGTGGTGAGGGGGTGGGGAGCGGGGATCAAAGACTATCTCTATATCTGAGCAGACAATGATTGTATTAGACACGTGCGATTTCTATTTTCTTTCATTTCCATTTAGCCAAACTATGCCACAGCAACGCGTGGCCGGGTACAGCTAGACAAATATAAAACACACTTGGGCACAGTCAGAAGCAAACCTTCGTAAAAAAAAAAAAGATACCAGCAATATAAAATTTCAGATCAACGCCACCTACTTTATCATTCAACAGGTTAGAAAAGATTTTACCAGACCGACAGTTGCAACAGTACTCAAATTCTTTAAGAAGCAGTAAGTAGAATGGTTTTGTCATCTAGTTAGAGTGCAGCAGCAACACAGGCCCTTTTCGTGAAGAGATCTAATGTGATACCAAGATCTCGGCCTTGTAAGAAGACATGAATGACACGACAATATCAGGTAGACATATCCAAATATGTCACTATAGTAAAAGACATGCATTGACTTGTAGAGACCTCATTATGTGAGGGTCACTGCCGCAGATATCGCCTGCCTCCATTCATCTCTTTCAATCGTATTTTCCTTCCAGCTTAAACTCCGTGATGTAGGTTTGTCTGTCTGCCTTGTTATATACTTACATTCCACGCTTTTTAGTGCGACGATTTTTGTCTCGCCGTAATCTGTAATTTTGCTATATATTTTGTAAATACTACAGTTTAATAATACTCCTGATGCAGCAGTGATAAGTGGGTATTTAAACCCATTATGAATTTCGTTATTACGACTTGAAAATTTTTTTTTTTTTTAAATTTTCAAATCAGAAATGTTGATCGCAGTAACCCAATACAAACTAAGTGAAAAGTACAGCAGAGATCCCTTTTCCTACGCCTTTAGGCGTATATGGTATTTAGGGCTTGACGTATTTTTTATAGACCAATCGGAATAAGATGGGTGATGTCGTAAGCATCACGCCGGCCACCTTAACTTCCCGGGACTGCACCCGGTACCCACTCAAGGCTGGGTCGACCTGGGAGTCAATGTCATTTTTTGAAAAAAAAAGAGTCACGCTAAGTGTGGAGTGATAATATTTGCAAACGTTTAAGCTATGACAAACGGCGAACATTATCCTAAGAGTTAACACGCAGAATACACACCTCCGCTGACGTAGACTGAGCAGAGACGTCCAGCGGCGTCCCCATTCACATTCACTTGGTCAACACTCTGTGTGAGGGTACAGTGCACGTCCAAGGTTGTGTCGTCTACAAACTGCTTCCTCGGGTCGGTGCAGTTGAGTTCCGTCATGTCGGAGACGAAGGTAATGAACACATGTTCCAGGGTGCCAGCTGCTAGAAAAATATTTAAAACACTAACAAGACCACTCGTAGCAACAACAGGGCAAAGGGGGCGGGAGCAGTGGTATATTACAAGCAAGATGACAGCATTATGTCAGTATATTTCAATCCAGTATACTCACACACATACAAACATACTTGCATAACACATAAAGTACGTGCACATACATACGTATGTACTATACATACATACATTCACACATACATACATACATACATACATACATACATACATACATACATACATACATACATACATACACACACATACATACATACACACATACATACATACATACATACATACACACACACACACACACAACATACATACATACATACATACATACATACATACATACATACATACATACATACATACATACATACATACATACATACATACATACATACATACATACATACATACATACATACATACATACATACATACATACATACATACATACATACATACACACACACACACACACACACACACACACACACACACACACACACACACACACACACACACACACACATACATACATACATACATACATACATACATACATACATACATACATACATACATACATAAATACATACATACATACATACATACATACATACATACATACATACATACATACATACATACATACATACATACATACATACATACATACATACATACATACATACATACATACATACATACATACATACATACATACATACATGCGTACATACGTACAGACGTACATACATACATACATACATACATACATACATTCGTACATTCGTACATACGTACATACGTACATACGTACATACATACATACGTACATATGTACATACGTACATACGTACATACGTACATACGTACGTACGTACATACATACATACATACACAGATACACACATACATACTCACATACACACATACACACACACATACACACATACACACATACACACATATACACATACACGCTTACACGCATACATGCATACACGCATACATGCATACATGCATACATGCGTGCATACGTACATACGTACATACATACATACATACATACATTCGTACATTCGTACATACGTACATACGTACATACATACATACGTACATATGTACATACGTACATACGTACATACGTACATACATACATACGTGCATACGTACATACGTACGTGCGCACGTGCGTACGTGCGTTCGTACGTACGTGCGTGCGTACGTACGTACACGCACACACACACACACACACGCACACACGCACACACGCAGAGACGCAGAGACGCACACACGCACACACGCACGCACGCATGCACACACGCACACACGCACACACGCACACACGCATACACGCATACACGCATACATGCATACCGACAGACAGACTGACAGACAGACAGACAGACAGACAGACAGACAGACAGACAGACAGACAGACAGACAATTCAAAACAATTTCTTGATCGTCATCGTCAAAGGCTTTAACGAACATTGAAGCAAATGCCATACTGAATAATGGCGCAGGTACACATTCTTGCCTTACTCCGTTTGAGGCAGGGAAAAGGTCTGAAAATTTCCTCTTCTCCAACACTCTGTCCTGCATACGTTCATAGAACTAATGTACAATCCTGACCTGAGGACATCCAAATGAAGCCGTTATGTTTCCACAGTCCACATCTACTGACTGTATTAAAGGCCTTTGTGAAGTCAATGAAGGTCGCACTTTTATTCTTGACACTATTCCTGGAGCTGGTGAGCTGCAAACTTATTTCATTGCTCTTTTCACACCCCAGGCAGACATTCTTGATAAGATGCACTGTAAGATAGTTTAGGAAAATTCTAAAGAGGATTTACCAGCAAAAGACAGAAGCGAGATTCCACGGTGATTGTCACATACCTGGCGTTTATATATATATATATATATATATATATATATATATATATATATATATATATAATATATATATATATATATATATATATATATATATATATATATATATACATAAGTGTATGATTATTGCATCTTTGAAGATCTGTGAAAGTATTTCTTGCTAAAATATAAGTTGTAATATTTCGTGTAATTTCTCGGTGAGGATAATACTACTTTCTTTGAAAACATCTGCGGGTATCGCATCAAGACCAGAAGCTTTACCACTTGACAGCTCATCAATGGCCATCTTGGTCTGCAGAAGAGTTGGTGTTTCCTCTAGGCTGCATTCATGGAGAACTGGGGCAAACCTTTTATAGCTTCTTTGTTTAGGGATGACTGTAGTTTTAGGATGATACTGAAGTGTTTGGCCCAACTATTAAGGATGGCATCGTTATCAGTGAGTTGTGTATTTCCAACTTTGCTGAGAAAGTGACAGGATGGTGGTGGCTTAGGTCCATATACAGTTTTCAGAGCATCATAGAAATGTGACATATTCTGCCTGTCTGCAAAACCCTGAATCTCAGCAGCTTTATTACTCCGCCACAAGTCTCGCATACGGGAAAGTTTAGCTTGAACAGTTCTTCCAATATTACTGAAGGAGTCCTTATTTGATAGTGAGTTTAGATCATTTAACAAAGCGTTATAGATGTGGTGTTTCTCCTCTTGTAGTGGCTGAATAGTTTCTGTGTTCTCGTCAAACCAATCTTGGTTTTTATCATGACCCGTTCTATTGTCTTCAAAGCTTTCCAGTAGATAAGATTTCTCAGGGTAGTCCATGTTTCATTCATGTGTGAGCCGTCTAAGATTCATTGTAGACGATCTTCCAGTGTGGATATAACATATTGTTTTGTGAAATTATTTTTCAGCCTGAAGATGTTGAGCTTCTTGTAAGTATTGCTTCCCTGCGGTCGTCTCCGGTGGTTGAATGCCGAGGTTTATTATCAAAACGACGAGGTGATGGTCTGTCCAACATTCAGCGGCTCACATAGACTTAGTCACTCACACTTACTGTTTGTTACTATTAGTCATTATGACATAATCAATGAAATGCCACGGTTTAGAACCGGGATTAGAAACAGGTCGGCTACACTCTCCTGGTTTAGCAAGCCTGTCAAAGCTGTTAGCCGGGGACTGGCCGCTGTCACAAATACATACATAATTTCATGTACACATACATACATGTGTACATATGTACACATACTTATCTACAAAAATAAATGCGACATAGACACATACATGCAATGTACTACACATGCAGATATGTACATACAGGCAGACTGACAGATAGGCAGACTGACATGTGGCAGATAGATGAACAAACAGACAGACCATCGTCTGTGACCCGGATTCTGAGCCATGTGAAAAAAGTTGGTTCTTGTAACGTAACCAACGTCTTATTAACATCTGGAGCAACATCGCAAGTGCTGTCGTCTCCGTCTGTCAGAGCGGAAGCATTTTCGGCTGCAAACGCCAGATCAGCTGGGGAATATACAGTATTTTTTTCAGCTTTACCACTAATTGAAATATGGAGAGCAATGGGTTTTCAACCTTATCTCTGTTAGAAGTATAGAGAACGTAGGGTTGTTAATTTTACTACAGTATGAAAAATGAAAACATAGTTTTCTAAACAGTTACCATTGTTAAAAGTATAGAAATAAGAGGGTTCTTAATTTTCCACGGTTTGAAATATGGAGAAATGAGGTTCTCATCTTTGCAATTATTAGAAATGTCGAAAAGTAAGGGTTTTTCAACATTGCCACTGTTAGCTGTTTATGTTATGTTTATTCCGCGGAACAACATCATGGCACAGGGTTGTAACCCACAAGTGCTCTCTTTTACTTCTAACTCAAGACTGAGTATGTAGAGTCTTAGAGCAGTGCACAATATTTCTCAGCGTGGCTCTTTGTGACAGTTGAAACCACTATTGCATTTAATAAAGTAACATCATGTGAAACAGTTTGACCACTGCTCTCCCTCCCCTTCCCCCTTTTAGACTACTACATTATACAGCCCCAGTCTAGATGGAGAGTGAGTTCCATAGATCCAGTGTAGTGCAACATCCAAATAAATTATAATCTGGCAGCTCGAAACTGCTACAACCCTCAGTTCCAAGGGTTTCCTTTGAGTTCGAACAAGGAAAAAATATTATGACCGTTTGAGGGCTCTGTAACGATAGTATGATTCGAACCTGAATGCGATAATCATATACACTTGATATTTGTGTTTCACGTTTCTAAATGATTTTGAGCAGTTGAAAATATGCAGACACCTAATGTACGTACGTGTCGAAGAGAGTATGTACAGCCATACCAACCACCGACCACAAAGACACATGGTAGGATCTCTGCAAACAGAAGACGTCTAACATCACCTACCATATTGACAAGCAGGACCGAACCATCCGCCCTGGCAAGTGTAGGAACCTGCACATTGTCCACTAGCGTCACACGCGTTATTGACACATCGGCATTTGTATTTACACTGAGATCCAAACCAGCCAGAAGGACAGCCTAGTTAGTGCATGTAAAAGAACCAAATAGATGAAACAGCAAATCACAAGATCGAAACATTAGCAGCATAGTTAGAGCAGAGCAGGAAAAGATATCTGGAAGAGGTCCTTCTGAACTCTTCGTACAAATTATTTTCAGTGTCTCGGATACTTCTGCAGTCCTTGTTCTGCGTTGTCGACCTCAGCTTATGTTACTGTTGTATCTTAACAGCTCTACTCTCTGTGGCGCACTGTTCGATGCCAAACTTGTTACATAGCCAAACCATTTGATTTGTTGTCTAATTATAAAGTACAGTATTCCGCTGACTCTCCTGATATAATCGTTCCTAAGTCGATATCACCCTAAAATTTAAGCAGTAAAGACCGTTTTTGCTGGTAATATTATTGTAAACTGGTCACATAATTTCTCACAACTTCCAAGGCCAATATAGTATTCCAAGGCCCTGAACAACACATGGCGACACAACAAGACCAGGGCACAAGCTGGCCAACACCTGTTTACACCTATCTGTGGTCATGCTAGAATCAACTGCTTAGCAAAGTGTGGTCAGTGCAGATATGATCATTTTTTCCTTTCACGTCGGAATGCATCGGGCTGAGAGGCAAGTAACCAGCAGTCCGAACGCATGTAAGTCAGATCTGTAAAACAGATGTGCACCTGACGCTTAAGTCTTGAGACTAGGTCTAAGTCCAAAAGTGGCACAAGAGCAATGGCTTTCAACATAAAATTATAGCCGGTGATTGCAAAGAGGAAGAAGAATGCCTATTAAAAAAAAAAACTAAACGTCATCAAAACCAGACATAACAATAGTTTTAGATCAGAGGGAAAATATACCTGCTTGTCCACTTATTTGTAGAAATGCAGGTTTATATAGCACACAGTATTTGTACTCTGTTAATTTCCAAATATTGTTTGATGTTTTGGGGTTTGGGGTTTTCTGTTAGGGAAAAAAGAAGAAGAAGAATAAATAGGTCAGGGAATTGCAACCTATTTTCTTAACATATAACGAAATGTAAACGTTGGTTGCTATGCAAATTCGTCTTTGGGAGGAGGGGGGGGGGGGTGGGTGGTTATAGGAAAACAGTGATTCTTATCAATGCAGAGTATGTATATGCTTTTGTTACGCTTTTTTGAACTTGCATTTGGAATCTCCTTTACTACCCACATGGTCATGTACAAGTAAAGTAAAGAATCCTTTACTACCCACATGGTCATGTACAAGTAAAGTAAAGAATTCATTACTACCCACATGGTCATGTACAAGTGAAGTAGAGAATCCTTTAATACCCACATGGTCATGTACAAGTAAAGTAGTGAATCCTTTACTACCCACATGGTCATGTACAAGTAAAGTGAAGAATCCTTTACTACCCACATGGTCATGTACAAGTAAAGTGGAGAATCCTTTACTACCCACGTGGTCATGTACAAGTAAAGTAAAGAATCCATTACTACCCACATGGTCATGTAAAGTAAACTAAGGAATCCTTTACTACTCACAGTCATATACAAGAAAAGTAAAGGATCCTTTACTACCCACACAGTCATGTACAAGTAAAGTAAAGAATCCATTACTACCCAAATGGTCATGTACAAGTAAAGTAAAGAATCCATTACTACCCACATGGTCATGTACAAGTGAAGTAGAGAATCCGTTACTACCCACATGGTCATGTAAAGTAAACGAAGGAATCCTTTACTACCCAAATAGTCATGTGCAAGAAAAGTAAAGAATCCTTTACTACCCACATGGTTATGTATCAGTAAAGTGAAGAATCCTTTACATGCCGGTGGCGCAGTGGGCATATAAGGCAAGAATGATAGTTTTAAAGACCTGGAGTGGTGATGGTGTGTCGCCATGGCGGAACCTCTAGACGCTCGCCTGCGGATCGGAAGCTCGCGGATTCTCTTCCCTGGCGTAGCTGGACTTTTTTTTTTTCTTCAAAAAATGACCTTGGCTGCATGGTCGACCCAGCCTTGAGTGGTTACTAGGTGCAGTCACGGGAAGTAAATGCGACTAACGTAATGCTGACCACATAACCCATCTTGTAACGATTAGTCTATAAAGTATAGGTCTAGCCCTATATAGCATATACGCCTAAAGGCATAAAGGGCCCATTTTGTTACTTACTCGAATGGTGATGTGGTTAACATAACCTTTTACTTTACTTCCAAGAACTGCAGTTGGTACCCGTTTAAGGCTAGGTCCACCAATGTACCAAGGTCATGTTTGAAAACAATCCTGAACCGCGCGGATTTGAGCCCACTATCTACAGATAGACGACTAGCCGCTACATCAGGACGCCCCCACCCAATGATCGTGTTAAAACGCGTATAGAACTAATAGAACAGACGTTGTTGTCTACATTGTCGGTCCTATGTCAGAACCCTATTTACTGGTGTATCCATGTCAAAGTATCGTGTTCATGACTTCTCAACCTGAATACTTTGATGTGGATCTTACTGTTGTTACTGACCAGTTAGCTTCTATAAAGTTTTATATTAGCTGAAAGAGATAGAGCACTTCTCCGCGTGATACTCAGTGCTAGCGAATCTATTTTTTTCAATGGAATAATCTACAGGAAAAAAACGTATGTACTTTCTTAAAGTAAAGACGGTATTCCGTATCTAGTATCGTAAATTCAAGTTACCTACTTTTCAGAGATTTCACACCTAAACAGAACAGAACACTGGATAAACAGAATACGTCGGTCAGGTCATGAAGTTTCATCTTGCCACGTGTGAGAGGTGTTGTTAAGTACATGTATTCTCATTACTGCAAAAAACATTATAACAGTAATAGGATAGTAAATGTGACAATAATACAAATAATTCTAGCAGCAATAAAAATAAAATAAAGAACGATACTACTTTTTTCCTCTTCTTCTTCTTCTTCTCCTTCTTCTTCTTCTTCTTCTTCTTCTTCTTATTCTTCTTCTTCTTCTTCTTCTTCTTCTTCTTCTTCTTCTTCTTCTTCTTCTTCTTCTTCTTCTTCTTCTTCTTCTTCTTCTTCTTCTTCTTCTTCTTCTTCTTCTTCTTCTTCTTCTTCTTCTTCTTCTTCTTTTTCTTCTTTCTTCTTCTTCTTCTTTTTCTTCTTCTTCTTTTTCTTCTTTTTCTTCTTCTTCTTCTTCTTCTTCTTCTTCTTCTTCTTCTTCTTTCTTCTTCTTCTTCTTCTTCTCTTCTTCTTCTTCTTCTTCTTCTTCTTCTTCTTCTTCTTCTTCTTCTTCTTCTTCTTCTTTCTTCTTCTTTCTTCTTCTTCTTCTTCTTCTTCTTCTTCTTCTTCTTCTTCTTCTTCTTCTTCTTCTTCTTCTTCTTCTTCTTCTTCTTCTTCTTCTTCTTCTTCTTCTTCTTCTCTTCTTCTTCTTCTTCTTCCTTCTTCTTCTTCTTCTTCTCCTCCTTCGATGGTGGGAGGGAGGGGGGTTAAAACTCGTTGATGAGCTCTGTCAAGAACAGTATTCAGACTTATACTGACGATACTGACCACACGAAATACAATTTCGGGGATATTCGACAGATACAGCTTTGGGCGTAATAAGTATTAGGACTTGCCAATTAGTGCACTCACTTATGGAGTGATGTTGCTGGCTCTCTGATTACATTTTGTGTTGTGTTTACCGGCTTTGAAGGGAAAGCTGTCTTTCTTCGTCTGTTTCTCGACATATGTCTTATTCCAGAACTATAATTTTGCTTCCAAATTTGACTTATGTGCTGACTGTTGGTTCTACCTCTTAGGCAGATGCACCCCATATTCATAGAAATTCCCCACCACCCTCAACCCTTATTTTTAAATCAGTCATCTTCTGCGACATGCTTTGGGGTGGGGTGTGTGATGGGGATGGGGGTGTGATGGGGGGGGGGGTGGTGATGGCGGTGGGGTGGGGGAGGGGCTGTCTATTCTTCGCCCCCCTTCCACAAACACACACACACACACACAGTTGTGTCCCAGAACAGATAGGCGGAACAATCCGTAATAGTGTGTGTCGATACTATTTAATCAAACTGAAGTGACATAAAAGTCACCATCGACAGAAAAACGAAAGTCATGAGTACAGAGAACATCAAACCATTAAAATACAGATACACGACCCAAGTTTGAAACTAAGTGTACGAAATTAAATATTTGGACAGCATCTTTGCACACAATGGCATACACGTCAGAGAGACGCAAACAGAAGTTTAACTCAGTGTTTCTTAAAGGAAAGACAGAAACACAGGTTTAACTCAAATAAAAACACACTACCCCCCCCCCCCTTTTTTTTTTTCCCCCCAAAAAGGGGAGAGGGTTTCACCATGTAGTCACCATTTAAGTCCTCAGCTGAACGAAAACTCTTTGATGACCTAGCTGTTTAGACGGTCTCTGAAAATTCCATAAAAACCTCCTGTCCACTTCAAAAGTCAGTGCATAAATTAGGGAACTGGGCAAAGAACTGTTGGGCTCTAAAACCCTAACTGACCTTATGAATCAAACCTATTTACGACCAGGGATAAAACTACCATCCCATGAGCACAAAACCTAGTATTACTGTACAAGAGAGGGGCTTAAAGCAAGAAGCTAAACTCAGAAACGAGAGGGGTGGGGGGGGGGGGGTCTATTCAAATGGCATACAAAGAATCGCTTTAATGAAAACAAAAACTTCATAGAACATACTGAGGAGTCATTAAACAAACACGAAAGAGCTGGTTTGTCTTTTATGGAACAAGCCCCAGTTCATTGGTTGACGCAGCGAAAAAAACTTGTGTAACCTATGCGAGGTTCGTCATGTGGACTTACGAGTACCACACGGCGCATTGAAAAGCACAATTGTGGACACTACAAATCCCTTACTTAGTATAAAAAGCTCAAGAGGTTTCAAAACAATCATCTGCACCACAGACTGTAAGAAGAAAAGTTATAGAGAAAATGTACAAGTCAGTGTGCAAGAGAAATTGTTGACACAAGAAGCAAATTTAAAAACTGAATGATACCTGAAGCTCACACACCAGAACTTTGGATTAGCTATCATATTCTGATCAGGTACATTTCTAGAAGTCCTTTGAATAATCTCTAGAAAGAACAAAATGAGTCAGAACAAAGCGTTTTTTTTTTTTAACAATATAAATTCACAAATAAATAACCTTCGAATATTTGGATTCGTATGTTCACAGTAGTCGGCTCTTTGGCTAAGTCGATGCAAAAGCTTCGTAATGCCGAGATGCCGGGTTTGATTCCAGTTGCAGGCCATGCGCCTTGCCTTAGATTCGACAGTGGTATCAATAAAAAGCCGACCGTCCAGAGGCAATTACAAACTACTGGACGTAAATTTGCCTAGAAAAACCACACAACAGCCAGGGGCTGTTGGGGTTGGTTCTGCAACGTCGTTCTTGGTGAAGAAGACATAGCATGTAAGTGGATGAATCTATAGTACTCACACTGACTGCAATACAGAGACAAATTTAAAATCAACATGGGAAGTTT